AGAAAGAAAGAAAGAAAGAAAGAAAGAAAGAAAGAAAGAAAGAAAGAAAGAAAGAAAGAAAGAAAGAAAGAAAGGAGGGAGGGAGGGAGGGAGGGAGGGAGGGAGGGAGGGAAGGAAGGAAGAAAACTGAGGACTAGGGGTGCAGCTCAGTAGTAGAGCTCTTGCCTAGCAAGGCCCTGGGGTCCATCCCCAGCACCACAAAAGCTGAACAAGTTACCAGTGTTTCTTCCGTTTGTTAAACAGTTGTTGCTCATTCATTCCAAGAAGGGTGATGGGGGAAACTACAGTGGGCCAGGGATTGGGGAGGCTCCATCCCGCCCTCACAGAGTAGGACATGCTAGTGTGGCCAGATGCTGGTCAAAGAAAGCAGCAAGGAATAAAAAAAAATGATCAGACGTATAATCCCAGCTACTCAGGAGGATGAGGCAGGAGGATCACAAGTTTGACACCAGCCTGGGCAACTGAGCCAGACCCTGTCTCAAAATAAAATAAAAAGGGCTGGGCATATTGCATATGCTTGCCTAGCACATTCAAGGCCCTGGATTCCATCCCCAGCACCACGGCGGGGGGGGGGGGGGGGGGGGATGGGGACGGGAAGTCCTGTAGGTAAAGTGCTGCAGGTTTAGTTGAATCCCACCTGGGGAAGTGGGTGCTTTTAGGAGGAGGGATTTCTGCAGGTCATGTCGGCTGTGCCTGGGCAGTGCTGAAAATGGTGTTGAGAGACCTGGGCAAAGGGAAAGTGATGGGAATGTGGCAGGTCTGTTTGGGGCCGGTGTGTCATGTGCCCCAAAAGGGGCAGAAGGTCAGCTGAGGTTGGGGGAGAGGTGGATGGGTGCTTGGGAAGTGTGCAGGGGCCTAGTGTACACGTGGGGAAACCAAGGCTCCAAAAGAATAAAAAAAAAAATGAGCATATGGTAAAATCAGGATTGGAACCTTGGACTAGGGTTGTGTCCTGCATGCAAGAGATCCTGGGTTTGGTCCCCAGCACAGGGCTAGAGCCATAGCTTAGTGGTAGAGTGCTTGCCTAGCCTGCACACGATCCTGGGTTCCATTCCCACCACCGCAGATAGATAGATAGATAGATAGATAGATAGATAGATAGATAGATAGATAAATCCTCTACACAGAAGGGGGAAAAAAAAGAGTTTGAAAGCTGTACTGACTGGCCCCACAGCCCCAGCTGTCACTTCTCAGTGCATGGCCACACTGGGCTCCTGGGGCACAGTGTAAGTCCTGCTTACTGAGGGTTCCTGCCCCTCCAGCAGGAGTGGTCCAGGGAAGGGGTCTTGGGTGTCCCCAACTGGGTCTAAGTTTTCCTATGAGTACATCTGTGCTCCAGGGTCCCATGGCCTTCTCTAGCTTGAA